TTATGTGTGTTTGGTGTATTTATGTGTGTGTGTGTTCAGGGCGTCTAAGATGGATCTGCGTGCGTCTATAGAGGAGTGCAGCATGGCCCTCAACCTCGTCCTCAACAACAAGTTCTCTGAAGCGCTGGATCTGCTCAGACCCTGGTAAAGCGCTTCACTGCTTCAGGATGACTTTCATTTTGTAAGAATGTTGACATTTGCTTTTGTTCCTCTTTTGTAAGTTGCTTTGTTCAAAATGTCTGCTAAATGTAAATGTCAAATTAATTTAGTTTAATTATTAGTATTTTAAGTTCAGTTTTAGTTCATTTGGTCACATGTTTATTTTCTGTAACACTTTACAAAAAGATTCAATTTTTTAACGTTAGTTAACTGCAACAGTCATATTTTTATTAACTAACCTTAACAAAGACCAATAAATACTGAAGAAAATGTATTGCTCATGGTTAATTAATGTGAGTTAATCCATTAACCAAAGTTAACTAGTAGGACCTTATTGTAAAGTGTTGCTCTATTTTCATATATTGGTAAACACTGTACAATGAGGTCTCATTTGTTAGCACTAGGTACATTTAATTAAATAAGTTAATTAGCTAACATGAACTGAGCAATGCATTTTCACCAGCGCTTATTCATTTTTGTTAATGTTAGTAAAAATACTATTGTTCATTTTAGTTCATATTAACAGATTTTAAAAATGTCATTAGCTTAAATTCTGTAAAAGTATTGTTTATTACTGGTTCATGGCAGCTGGTGTAGTTAACTTTATATATATATATATATGTGTGTGTGTGTGTGTGTTGTGTGTGTGTGTGTGTTTTCTGATAAATCAGGCTTTTACGACTCATATAGTCTGATACAGTGAGAATATGGAGGAAAAACAGCTCAATTTTATTCAGAGACTCAAACTGAGCTAAAAATATGAATTTGCTGCAGATGCTGATATTTCTATGATGAGATTCTGATGCTTGTGCTGTAAATCAATGAGATCTTTCTAACAGTGCAGCAGATACTGACATAAAATGATCTAAATATCAGCGGTCGCTCTATATCTCCAGTAATGTGTCTCAGTAAGATGAGATTGAAATGATCCAAACATATAATGCAGTGATTGAGAGCTGAAGAAATAAAGGCTCCTCAGAAGATGTGAGATGTTCTGGAGGCTTGTGAAGATCATTCCTCCGCTGAGGAACAGTGAAAGTAAAGCTTCTGGAAACAAACGCTCCTCAAAAGATCCTGAGGATCAGATTTGAGACTCTAAAACATGATTGATGGAGAATCAAGTAAAGCTGAGCTGCTTCAGTCCAGTAAGTGTTCATCTGGAGATATTACTGCAGTTATTCTGACGCTTACTTGATCAAAACCAGTCAAAATCTGACATGAGAAGCTCCAGCTACAGTTACACTAAAAGAGCTCTGACTCTTATTGAGATTGTTTAGCTCATGTTGATCATGCGGAGGTGTTCTGTGTGTTCTGCAGGTCTAAGGACAGCATGTATCACGCTCTGGGCTACAGCAGTATTCTGGTCATGCAGGCCACCATGACCTTCGAGCACAAAGACATCCAGGCCGGGATGGCGACCATTAAAGAGGCCTTACAGACCTGCCAGAGGTGCGGCTCGATCACGACGTCCAGTATGAGACGCTTCGGGCGCGTTCTGCTTCTGATCTGTGTCCCGTCTGTCTGCAGGTTCAGGAAACGAAACTCGGTGGTGGGGTCCATCTCCAGCCTGATGTCCAAGCAGTCGCCAGACAGCCTGAAAGCAGGTGAGCCGTCTGAGACGCTGAGTGTGTGCTGGGAAACACGTCTGAATTAGGGCTGTGCGATATTGACAAAAAATAATATCTCGCTATTTTCTGGGATTTTATCGATAACGATAATTGCTGAGTGTGTTATTGTGCTGGTATCTTGAGGACTGCCGTGGACAGCTGACTCCTAAAAGTTTTTAATATTCTTCATATTCTGTGCTGTGGTCAGTTCACACTGACAGAAAATAATCTTTTCCAATAAGTTTAAATCGATTTTTATTTTTTATGGGCATTTTTACCTTTTATAAAGCCATTTTTAGAAAAGTGTGCATCATCTTTTGAGTCAAATTCTTACATTTAATCAGTGAATTGGAATAGTAAGACATTTGGACTGTTACCAAGCAAATTAAATCAGTATCAATAAAATTCATCTTTGCAATGCAGAGGAAACACAGAAGCTGCGTCTGAAGTGGCGTTTAGATGTGTTTACACACAAGACATGAATGCATTTAACATTCAATTGCAAATGCATAAATAAAGTTTTGATATATTAAACATAAAACGTTGAATACTGATAATTGAAATATTTTGAAACGTTTTTAAATGTGAAATTAAAACCGCCAGTAGGTGGCAGCAAGTCACTGTTAATAAGTGAGTCATTGCGATTGAACCGAATCATTTAAACGGTTGATTCATTCAGGAACGAAACACCATCATGTTGCACAGAGACGCAAAACAGCGCTGTGACTGTGTTTGGAATCATTTTTGTGGTCGAAATAGAGCAAAAACACGCAATATGGTGTCTAAAACGTAATTAAGTTCTTGTTTTTTGAACTGTTGTAAAAAAAATCATTTTTGGAGAAAAAAATGGCACTCCTTGTGTGATATTGATTAACTATATGAAATAATATAAATATATAATTTTTCTGTCGTCATAACTTGAATTTTGTGATTATTCTAAATGCATTTGTTATATTGAATCATGCAGTGAAAGAACACACTCTAAATGCGCACGCGCTCTAGTCTAGACTTCAGGTAATGTCGTGTGCTCTGTAGGGGTGTTTTGAAAGGTTTTTACAAAATACTCGATAATGTCAAGTCGCACATCGTTAAAACAACAATTACGATATTATCGCAGACAATATATATTGCACACCCCTAGTCTGAATGTGTTTGTGTCGAGTTCTTACTCGTGTTTGTGCGTGTGTGTGTTTGTATGTGTGTGTGTGTGAAAGTGTGTGAGAGAGAGTATAGTACTGTTCGTGTATGAGCGAGAGTTTGATAGTGTGTGTGTGTGTGTGAGAGTGTTTGAGAGACAGTATAGTAGTGTTAGTGTATGAGAGAGAGTTTGATAGTGTGTGTGAGAG